AAAAAAATTAAAGATAACAAACAAAAAAAAATTCTATCCCGGGGGAGGTAAGAAAATCCTCCCTGTGCTCCAACTCTATGACGCGGTTTCCGCCAGCTCGAGCCTTCCCGAGATCGCCGTCTATCGATATCGGACTCCTGTAGGCGATTTCGCCTCTCGCTTTTCGTGCGTCGTTTCGCGGCTTCGCAGAGGCGGGTGGAGGAGAGCAGGGTAGGCAGACAAAACCACTCAGGATTAGCCAAAATACAAAGGTTTTATTTCCTCTCAACCGGTAGTCCCGCTACGGGTCCGCGCCTCCCGTGCTTTCGGGGACGAGGGGGGGGGGCGTACACCGACAGCCCAGGCGGGGATGTCATAATATAAACAAAAAAAGAACTTTGGTATAGCCCGGCGCTCCGACGGAAACAACAAGGTACCCAAACTCCGTACAAAAAAAAACAAAACGACCCAATCGAAACACAAAACAAAACAAAATAAACAAAAAAATTGATTGTCCCTCGGGTATCCCGAAAAGGAGTAACACAAAAAAAAACAAGGCTTGGGGTCGGGCGGTAGCCGTTAAGAATGGTTGTCGTCTCCGTTCTTCATGGGTTGATCTCGTGTGGAGTGCATCCTCTTCTACCAGCCACCCGGGGGCTCCAAGACCAAGCGACTGCCTGGCCTCTTGCTTGGCCTCTTGGGTGGTTCGGGCCCTGGGTGTCCCCGTCCGGGGGTCCAGGGTCCTTGCGCGGCCCAGGCATCTCCGCAGTCGGGGCATGTCCTGACGGTATACCAGGCCCGCCCGCACCGGAAACAATAAGGCAGAGTGCGGCGGAGGTGCCGCTTCGGGCATCGATCCTGAAAATGTTCGTCGGATCCGCACGCCCAACACGCCTCCTCCGTTATCAGCCACGGCGGCGGGTTTTCGGGTCCCCAGGGTGATAGTGAGGGGCGCTTCGGGGTGGGCGCCTTGGCCAGCTCGCAGCGGGCTTCCGCGGGGCCCTCGGCCGTTCCGCCGTTCCGCGCCGTTACTTGCACGGTGAGGTCCGCGGCCTCCATTCGCACCACGGTCCCTTCACCCGATGGCCTCCGCTCCTCCTCTTGGCGGGCTTCCTGCTCGAGCTTTGCTTGGCTCTCGCGGATGAGCTTGAGCAACCGCTCATATCGCTTCCCGGGCGCCGACATCCCTGCTACACACGGACACACAGACATACAAACTCTTATACCCACTACTCCACGGGTTCGAGATAAGGTTTCAGATCCTTCACGTGTACTTTTCCCAGAGATTTACCGGCGGCGTCCGCCAGCTCGTATACTAAGGGCGACAAAACTCTCGTCACAGCAAACGGACCATGATACTTGGTTGCTAAACTTGGCCGCGAAATTCTGGGCGGCGGACGACAACACGTGCTG